CTAACCCATCTTCCCACTCTTTGACACATTTCATTAGACATATAAATTTATTATAATGACGCACCTTAATCTGGGAAGCAATGACTATCTTAGCCAAAATTATTATTTACGTATTAGCTTTCAAATTTTGAGGGTATTTTACAAATGTGCCGTAATGAATAGCAACCAAATTATTATCGCACAACATTTAATTTAATTTTATTATCAAAATCAGCCACTTGAATGATCATGTTCTGGCTTAGCTACATAAAAATAATTCACATATACAATAGAACCTAATTCTGTAAACAATAATTTCTTGAAAACTTTAAAACTATTCATCGATAAAAAAATTAATGATTATTAGAAGAATCTTTCACATCATCAATAACGGCCCATCCGATCACAGGTGACACAACAGATTCACCACCAAAATCTTCGAGAACTTCTTGACTAGCACCAATAAACCCAGCTACAAATTTCAATTTGCCCCAAATATCGCAATAAATGGAACTTCTACTGTGCCATTAGGAATATCTCTATGTAAAGCTTCTCCCGTACGATCATAAGGAAAAAAAGCAGCAATCCATCCATTGATTGTAAAATTACCACCAGAACCATAACTTTTCTTGGTAATAATCTTACTCCAAAAGTCTTCATCAATTTCACCACGATAAGTATCTACTAATTTCAAAATCGCAGGATCAAGGCGATCCAACCAAAAGTCTAATTCTAAATTTAAGTTTCTTAATTTAATAACTTTTTCTTGAAGCTTTGTCCAATCTTCATGTGTACCTTCAAATGTTACTTTCGGAATTCCACAACAAGCAGCTATACGATATTTAAAGTAGACTTTAACCATATCTAATAACACGATACGACTTGCAGTTAAAGAGTTTGAAGTTGTAGTTGAGAAATCACATTCCAGTAATTGAGCGAGATCAATTTTTTCCACACGTTTATCAGCCTCTTTAACGAATCTATCTACAGCTTTTGGCCAATTACCTTCAAGAATATTTTCATTTGGATTAATAGATAAGATATCATCACTGATACAAATATTTTCCTGTCCTTCATGATTAACAAAATTTTTACGAAATTTTTCAGCATTATAATTAAAATGACGGCTAACACCTTGAGAAATTGTAAGCCAAATATCATCAGGACTCAAACGTAAATGTTGATGATAGTTCTAAGCATGAAATATTGCAGTGACGAAACCATTAGAGCAAGAAGGGTATTCGAGAACTGATTGTTTATTATTTGGAGAATTATCATAGTAAACGGAGATAGCATGTACTTTTTGTTTTGGAAAAATTTTGGCGATACTATCTTTGACTGAA